GGGAGGCCTATGTTCAGCAGTGGACTTGTGAAGGGCTGTAATGAATGATAATGATGACGAAAAGAAACATTAAAAAATGGAGAAATATTTTATTGTGCGTGGATGTGCAAGTGGTTGAGCATGTGATCGGAAAAATAGACTGAAAATAACTTTTATTGACTGCACTTAGTAATCGCAGCGCCTCACTGATGGTGTCCATATTTCTGGGACACTATTTTCTACGGCGATCGTTCTCCTGTTCTCTAACCTTCATGAGCTAAGCAGTGCTCGGAGTTTCTCTGTGTGTGTATAGAAAAGACTATATCTGCAGTAGAAACCAGAGCAACCGACATATCCCAACGGATTAGTAAGCTGAAGTGACAATGGGCCAGCCATATAGCTCGAAGAACCAACAACAGATGGAAGAAAAGGTTCTCGTGAGGCAGCCAAGTATCGGTTAGCGAAGTGTAGGGCGGCCCCCCGCTGGATGGATTGGCGACGTGTTATAGATTCAGGATGTTGATGGATGCAGGTGGCTCAGGAATGTGTTCTATGGCACTCCTTGTGCGAAGCCTATGCCCAACGGAGGACTTGTGATGTGTGTTGTGGTTGTAATGATGATGATGATGATGACTATGATACTCGAGGTTTTCAATAAAAAATATGACTGGTTTATTTTATTTTTCGATTAGTCACCTTTTAGTGTAAATTTTAGAATGTTTTTTTTCCTAAGCGTAAAAGTATTTTACTAAAACTCTTCATTTTTCTTAGTCAACTTATTTCAACCCTTCACAAGTCCACTGCTGAACCACTGTCGTAACCCATGTAGTGGGGGGCCGCCCTACACTTCGTTCATAAGTACGAGGTTGCCACTCGAGAACCTTTCTTTCCAAACGGGTGTCGGTTCAGCTATGAGCCGGCCGGCCGGCCCATTCTCAATTCAGCTTACTGATCCGCAGTTAAAACAGAGTAACTGACATAGCCCAACGGATTAATAAGTCTTCATTATTAACACCTAAAAATTTCTACATCTGTACTGCAGCAAATAATGCTTGTGGAATCGAAAAGAGGCAATAACCTTGTTCAAAAGAAGAAAGATGGCATACACCTAGCTTATTTTGTATAATGTAAAATGGTTTAACCTCTCAAAAGCCAAGCGTCCAAATTTTACCACTTCGATATTCCATCAAAATTCAAGAGGTCAAATTTGACCGCACCCACCTACAGTACTTTACCCATAATATATTTACATAAAAGTTACATTATTACCCGAATAAAATATATTATGAAGAAGTTTGGTATTATAGAATCAATATGAAATTGAATATTATTGTTATAAAAGTTTATGTGTGAATATAATTTTTCTTTTTACGTAAATAATTTCGAGTAATATGTAGAAATAATTGTGATTTTCACGCTGCCGACATCCGCTTCCTATGTTTTTTTTTTTGTTTTCAAAATACAATAAAATCTTTTTGTAATGAAGTAAAACCTAACTTTTGTTTAAATCACAGGGTAGAGAAATTTGTATATATTTTATAACGCCAAACGTCTTTATAGAAAAGTAGTCTCTAAATATAAGTTTTAATGGTTTTAAGTGCTGTGGGTGGGTGCGGTCGCATACGACCGCTCGGGATTTGCCAGGCGCATGCGACTGTTGTTTTCTTTTTATGACTCGATCTATGCTTTGATCTCCCTTCATTTTATACGAGGTAGAACGCTGCAGCTGTATTATGGTGGTAGCACGAATGGCCCGTAGCACGAATAGCAGCGTAATGCTGCTGTGTTTCGTATGGTCAGTGTAGAGAGCCGGAGACCCTTTTAACTGGAAACGAGGCACTTCATCTTAGTTCGCAAGGGGGACAACGCATCTTCATTTTGATTCTTAATCGAGGATAAATGTGGTGGTGGACTGTGTGCTCGATTGTCACCCTTATTCTATTAAATAAAAACTATTTACGAACTCATTGTTAGTCTATCTTTATATAATATATAATTCTTCTGTACGTGTGTTTGTCATTGAACTCCTACTAAACGGCTGTTTGTGTGGTTTAAGTGAGTCCTAGGATGGTTTAGATTCACGATTGGGCCTGGTAAGTAGCACTATTGTCGAGATTAAGAACTCATCCGTGCGCATAGGGTTGCCAGGTCTTAAAACCGAAAAGCCGGACATACCAGCGAGCTCAGCCGAGCATTTTGGTAAAAAGGCCGGACACCCTTACTTTTTGTCTCACTAAAAAACATATATTTTTTTAAAGTAACAATGCTTTTTTATCATTTACCATAAAATCTTCTTAATTTCTAACGAAATAACAAAGATTGAATAAATCAGTCAGTACATGAAAATCAGTACATGAAAAATGTAAAGAAATGGTCAAATTTAAAAAGCCTAACAAATGCCGCACACCGTCTAATTTAGCCGGACACGCAACCAAAAAGCCTGACTGATCCCGGCGCAGCCGGGATAGATAGCTAGTGTTTTATTAATTTAACTATTTTAAACTTTATATTATGTTATTGACCTTTTTAACCTCACGTGTCATAGAGTAGCTGTTGAAAAACCTGCCAATTTTTTGTATTAATTTTTATTAGCACGCTATATCCTCATGTGGATATCCATTATAAATAATTGACACCACTTTGTTATATTCCTGACATTTAAGTTTTTTGATTAATTGCCCAGTGAGATCTGTAGTTACATTTTTTAAATGTGAATATTTTAATTTTTAAACTGGACATAACCTTCAAGATGACGTAACACTAAAGTGATGCCAATAGTAGAGCAATAGTTAAGATGACTAGATCTCTAATTTGTGAGTACTAGGTGCGACTTTTGGATGTACCGTGTAGTGGCTGTGTGAGAATATCCACAACCCTGTATCATCCCGTGGGTGCCGTAAGAGACGACAGAGGGAAAGAAATCAGGAGATATAATAGCAATTAAAAATAAAAAGCTACAGTTGCCAACTCCCTTGCCAAGCGTGGCTACTATGACAAATATCACCCTTATGAGGCAGTCTATGGGGCAGGCCTTGTTCAGCAGTGGACTGAATAGGCTGTAACGGTAACGGTTATGTCACAGAATAAATAATAGTACTACGTACAGAAGTTGCACTCCTTTGATCTTGACTGCTTGCCGACGTTTAATAACCTACATAATTATTATTAATTAGATAAATCGCGCACGCAAGCTAAATAAAACTTTGTCGCTGCACGCGACGCGAGTGTCCATATTACTTTACATCTTTTCCCCTTCCTAAGTCACGATGTCAATAAAGAGTAAAACATACCTACATTACGAAATGTTAATTAAGTAACTTAGGTGAAGTACTTATTCTGGCTATGACCGACTGACCACATTTTCGCACCTATGTGAGTTATGCGATGCCCAACGCATGCAACTTGCTAGGCCATTCGTCGGGAATCGCGATGCTTGGCTCGGAAGAAACAACAAATAAACCTCAAATACGTTTCCTAACAGAAATGTGATCGTATTCTACTTAGTTAAAAATTTTGTTAGTAAACAAAGTTTTGATTTCAGTACTTTGTGTTATTATAACTTCAAACAAAACTTAAAATATTTTAATTAAAAAAGACAAGTATGTAAGTAGACATGTACGTAAATAGTAAAGTAAATTTCAACTAAGTTTTGCAATGAAGTACTTAGGTATTACTTCTGCCGATAAATGATTACTTAATTCTTCTTAGCCATAAGTACCTAAATTGACCTTTCATAACTTCCTATTAAAACTTTTCGGTTTGTTTTGTTGGTCATTTAGCATCTATCCACGCAACAGTTATAGCAGGAACGACTTTTTGCCAATAAAATTGATCAAATAGGTAATATACATAATAATATAAATTATATATAATAATTTTAAAAAAACATTAAAACTTTTTCAACTATTTTATCCCACAATTAAATATGCTAAACACTAAACAAAAACTATTTCAACAAGTATTTACAAAAAACTATTTACGTAATCAGCATTAAAAAACTAACATTAACCACGTGTAGATGCGTACCGCCATCGCTGGCCCATTCCACGGTTCTCGACGGTTGAGTGTGGACGTTCGTGTTTTGTTTGTTAGTTTACGAATTTTCTTGAAAATGACATGATGAATAAATATTTTTTTAGAACCATATCGAGGAGACAGCGTTATATGGAATCCAAGACACAAACAACACAAAGATAAAAATGTGTGCGATGGATAGATAACATCCACCATCTTCATCTACGCCATTTCTTTTTGATAACTTTATTCTTGTGCACATTAAGAAAATAACGGTACGTGCTGTATAGACATATTGCTGCAGCGGTTAACGCTTCCACGTCCATCTCGAAAAACGTTTCAATCACAAGTCACAACTGAATGATGCCATCGTGTAGATGTAGTTGCGTTTCAAAAAATTGCATGGCAATTTCGCTGGGCCAGCGCTGGCCCACCATGTAGAGGAGCTATAAGCGTCTATAGTCCACAGTATCTAGTTATTGTCAGGTAAACTGTGTGCTCGTTTATTATTTAAGGTCACTGCATACGTAAAGTGCATTATTCCGGAGGGAGCGGGACGTGAAATTTTGGAAATATAGTTTCATAGAAAATGTATGTGATAATGCATACGTTACGGATGCACGGACGGGACGGGGACGTGGTATGTACGGGACGGGAAAAATATCGTCAGCGACGATGTTTACCCCGTCCCGCCCGGCGCGTGCCACGTCCCGTTCTCCTTCTTGTTCTCTTTTCTGCCACGTAGGATGTACAGAAAATCTCCTTTTACTCTTGACGGTTGTAGCTTCTTCAACATCTAAACCAATAGCAATTAATGTCAATTCTTCAAATTAAAAATCCATCTTTCACAACACTAACAATTTAGTTTCGAGTCACTATCACGGTGCGTATGCATTAAACTCCCATCCGTGTTGACATACAACCGCGTTCCGTCTCCGTCCCGTGCAGGTGCTGATTCCGTCCTGTATGCAGCGACCTTTATACTTCAATAAAAAAATACAACTTACCTTGTAGTTGTTATTGTTATGACAGGGCGGTGGCTGTTTCTTTTCTCGGGTTCCGTACACGGCACAAGCGGCTAGAGCCACCCCTACACCGACACCCACGGCTATCGTCGGCTGAACTCTAAACGCCTGCTCTTTAATCTTTGACAAGATGGCTGGCATTTTGTCCGATTTATTTCTAGCTTCTCTTTAAATTATTCGATTTAATTCTTCAATTATACTTTATTTAATTCTATCTAAACTATTTGCGGACTGCAGAGATCAATTTCCAATTATAATCACAGTTTATTTATATAGAAATATTATATCGTCGAAGATAAACATCGATTTGTCTATGTGATGATTGTCGGTGCGCCTTTTGACCTTTGTTCGTCCATTTTTCTGAAAAGATAGAAAAGTTTCGTTGAATTAAATTAATAAAACGAAGTAGGTTAGTTACAATTAGTGATTGCTTGTAGTAAGTCTAATTTATCACAAAGAGGGAAAATAAAAAAATGACATTTAAATCAGTTTACAATAAACAAAGGCATCGCGTAACACGTGCAAAAACGTTTAGACCGTTTTTGCACGTGTTACGCGTCCTCCTTTTTTTAGTAGGAGGCTAAAAATAAAAATCTAACGACTAGCTTGTGTATGTACACAGCCAAAAAATATTATTTTCCATCATTGAAATAACAGACACCGCGAACAAAATCTGTGCGGCAGTGAGCGTGATCGGAGGCACGGAGTAACTTTCTACGCACAGAATAACTTTTTACGGCACCGAGTAACTTTTTATGGCACAGAGTAACTTTTTACTGCACCGAGTGACTTTTACGGCACAGAGTAACTTTTTACGGCACAGAGTAAGTGAGTTTGAACCCAGGGCCTCTAACTGTCAGCAGCGTGAAGGGGCCCGCAAGAGCCGACGCCTGCCGGGGCTGCGGGCTGTTCGAAAGAGATACCGCGGCTCCGGAACGTAAGGGCACTGAAGGAACACGGATGGTTTTTAGTCAGTAAAAGTCTGACACTCCCTTAGGCTCCACGCAGAGCCAAAGGGGTCATTAGATGATTTTCCATCGGCAAAAAAAAAAGGGCCTCTAACACGTGTTACAAACTGCCAAGTCTCGGCGTCTCTTCTAATACGTTTTCTCGTTTTCCATCTGGAGATCCGTCGCGATATCATATAAAAAGCATGGCTCCTACATTATCTATACGTACATATAAATTAAATTGAAGTGTCTAGTATTATATAGAAGAGTCCATAATTTTTGTCTGTCTGTCTAATCTTTGAAATGGCTGAACCAATTGTATTGAAACTTGACGAACAGATAGAGATCATTGCCAAGAGTGATCTAGAGTCTAGATCACTCTTGGCACTCTTGGCTCTAGATTCTAGACTATATCTTAAAAGAAAAACTTAGAAATATTTTTTAAGAAATCATAAAATTGATTGATTTTTATTTGATGATTATCTGAAATCTAACAAATACCACATTAATCTTGAAAAAAATTATGGTTTAATGTTTGATTTGAAATGAATTTTGAAACGAAAAATTGGCGCTGTTAAATATCTGGTCCCGTAAATTATAAATCCAAATAATGGAGTTCCAAAAAGTGTTTTGATTGTCTATGGTGATACTCCGTTTTGACGCCGTAGGATGGTATCGTCATCTAAACTAATGACGACAGAAAATTCAAAAATCTTCCAAAAAATTCGAATTGTATGTAGCATCAAAATCATATTGCAAATAAATAAATGAATTATGAAGAATATTTTAACTGCTCGAATTTATACGTGGTAGAGTCACACTGCAGCTATGTTATGATTGTAGCACAAATGTCTCGGACCGACACGCTCTCATAGAATACCAGCGTAAAATAGCAGTTTAATGCTGCTGTGTTTCGTATGGTGAGTGTGAAGACTGAAGACCCTTTTTTACTGAAAACGAGGCATTCTATCTTAGTCCTCAGGGGTGACAACGCATCTGCATTTTGATTCTTTATCGAGGATAGGTGTAGATGTCTGAAGATGTCCACTAATTATCAGGTGGACTGTGTGCTCGTTTATCACCCTTATTCTAATTAAAAACTCGACATTGACGACAAATGTGTGATGGCCATTATTTTAACACGCGCAATAAATCTAAACTGGCTGTTCCAAAGTAACTCCATAGGATTAGCGGCTATTTTTTGGTAGATGTATAATTATTTATTAGCTTGTAAACATTTAATTATATCGCTAAAAGCCAATCTTTTTTAATGCATAAATCACTCACGATAGTACAACTGATTTTTATAAATGTATTTATTATAAATGTATTTAATTTATATGATGTTAATATGCAAATTAGAATTATATCCTCAAGAACAAATTGACCCCGAAATCAAATCAAAACTATTTTCAACTTATTACAAGAGCACTCACTCACACACATAATGCATCTAAAATCATTTATAATGTGCAAACAACAATATGGTTTCGGGGGGAGAGGGGGGTTAAAATGTGTACACACATTTGCAGTTACGATTTTCCAATTAAGTCAGGCAAAGGTTATTATAACATACAGCCTAGTCTTATGTGTATAATTTTCTTCACAAAACTCTTCGCAATATGCAGATGAGTTGCGGAGTTCTTGGGAGATTTTGAATACAGCTTATCCCAGCGGACAGTTGATGATAATAATATCTTAAGGCCTCTAAACCTATTATTTACTATTAGTACTTTTATATCGTTTTCAATAGTTCATTTGCAGACATTTAATATATAAAATCACACAACTTTTACGTATTATAATCCACTTTAAACCATTATTAAATAGAAGTAGCAAACCACCGGCGTCAAGTACTCGCCAACACTCTCTCAAGACAGATAACTGTTTCGCGTTGAGTAAAAATTTTAGAAAATAGATTAATAAAAGTATGTGTATATGAAGAATATGTTTACAAAATAAGTGACAGTATGTTATTTGTGTAGATTAAGAGTTTTTTTTAATTTGTTATGTTGTTAATGTTGTAGCTAGAGCATCAAACAAACATAGGTGATCTACGTTAAGAATGCTAGCTAAATGTTAAAGCCCTCAATAGATGGCAAAGTGATAATGTTTAACACATATACACGAGTACACACACACACGCACACACACACAAAAGCACTTTCGACCTAGACGACCTGTGCCCAACATGTACTCATCAAAAACAAATTTTATATCTGTTTTTATTTAACCATGACATTTTTATAACATATGTCACTTGACGGGGAAAAACGATAGAGAATCTAAACGACAGATAACAACCCGTGTTAATCAGCAATTTGTTGTGTATTTAGGGTTGTCAACTTCTTTAATATCTTACATCTAGATCCGAAATAAAATTTACATACATTGTATGTTCGAGGCTATCCCATAAAATATATTAAGTATGAATGCCTTGATACTTTTTGCCGATACGATACCGATACCGATGCTCTTATAAAAATATCGGCACTACAGATACAGATACCGATACACTTATTGAATTCAAATATGAAGGTAAAATAAATAAAACACAAATCAGGTTAATCTTTTAATTAATATAAAAATAACAAATAACGTACACGTAACGACAAAGTAAAAAAAACCGTTTAAAACTACAGACAGTTTCGTTTGCAACGAAATAGACAACGCGAGTGTTCACATTACATTTTTGAAGCGCGAAATTTGAAAAGTATCGTTGAATTGTCGGTAAAAATATTGCCGATGCCAATATATCGGCATCGGTATCGGTATCGGATTCATCCCTAATATTAAGTAAACCGTTGAAAAAAATACCTACATTACAAAAAGACAAACATATAACTCTATTATAATATTGAAATTAATATCTAAGTTCATTAACAAGTTTTTTCATTCACCTTAGCTTATCATCAAAATATCATAGGTATCATTAATCCTATCCGTGAAGGGCACTACGCGACAACCAGAGATTCTTGCCGGTTGCTCTGAAAAGTTCCGTAAGTTGTTTTACGAACCGATACGCATTTTGATACTCATACAAAAAAAGATTTGTTTAGAAATTAACTTTGAACTATTTAATTTAAGTTTACTGCTTTAAACCTGTCTGAAAAGCATTCTCACATAATGCATTTGTAGGCTTTACGTTTGTTATGCGTATGTGAATTTTGGAAAATACTCGGGTAATAACTATATATATATATATATACTCTGCGGTGACTCTGCCCTCGCTTAGCGGTCCGCCACCGCAGAGTCTACTACACCTGAGGATGCCTCGTGTAGAGGCGAAACACGTGTCGTATTATCGACGGCAGTGTGTCTTTCCTAGTGTAGTGGTGTTGGGAGTAGTGGTGACGGGATTAGTGCACGCAATTGACGGAGAGCGGGAGGTACTCTTCAAGCGCAAAAAAAAGAAAAGAAGATACTGGGTTCACCCTATAAACAGATGGAGACAAGACAAAGGTGAATTTCATCGTCTTGTTAAAGAATTAGAGAGTGACGAAGAGAAATTTCATCAGTACTTTAGAATGAACAAAGCACAATATGAGGAAGTCCATTCGTTGATTGAAGGAGACATAAAAAAGTACATACTAAATTTCGCGAACCCAAAGGTACTAAAGAAAGACATGCGTTATGTTTGTTAACTTTTCGTTGACGTACAAGTTCAATAAGATCGTCAGTCATTTTGCTGCATATATAATTATTAAAAAGTGTCCGCTAGATGTTAGAGACGAGCCACGCGCCGGTATAGAAACACATTTGCCTGTTGTTTCGTGTCGCGTCATAACCCCCACCACCGCTCTGGCGCAATCGGTGGCGAGCAGTCGGTGCCACGATAGAACGTGTTGTGGCGTGACTCGACATGCAAATATGTCCCTAACCATATTAAATGTGTGAAACCGATATGCTTCTGGCGCGCCACGACACGTAAATATGTTTCCGCCGTTTCCGTGCTTGTATCACGAATGGCTCGGCTCGACTGGGGAGTGCCACGCTCTCGCAGAATACCAGCGTGAAATAGCAGCTTGAAGCTGGTGTGTTTCGTGTTGTAAGTGTAGAGTGCCGGAAACCCTTTTTACTGTAAACGAGCATCCCATCTTAGTCCTCACCGGTGACAAAGCATCTGCATTTTGATTCTTAACTACTGCGTCACCACGACCAAAGAGTATAGCAAATACGAGCGACATTATC